ATTTTACTGGAGTTTTGATCTGTTTCTTCATTTGGGAAATGTTTCTTTGCTCATTTAGCAGCAAACCTATGTTTGTGTCTCTGTATTAGGTAGAGCTCCTTTGACTCTGTGTCTTAGTAGAGTGCCCTAAGGTAGTAGGTGTCCTGTAGGGTCCAGTGGCACAGCCTCCCCTATAACCCAAGCTGGGTCCTCGAGGTGCGAACATCTGTTTGGACTGAGTACCCCCTCCTCTTGTTGTTGAGTATTGGTTGCTGTTGGCAGATCAATGGGAAGGATTTACCCAGGCCGGTCAGCTGCAAGGACTGGCTGTGACCACTGAGCACCAACCTCTGCCCTCTATGGAGGATCAGTTGCACAGGAGCAGGGTGGTGGTGCTCCAACGTGGTCTGTAGCTGTTCAGTGAGTGCATTGGCCCTGGGGTGTCCCGGGTGGTGCAGGCCAAGGTCAGCCCTTACCTGTGTTTTGCCTGGGGCACCCTGCCTGAGCTGGAAAGCAATCTGACATGGCTGCTACTTGCACTGGGCCAGGAGACTCCTGAGTGAAGCCAAGCTGTGAGTCTAATCCACCTGCCACTAGGGCTTACTGAAACTAGCTGTTGCTTGTTTAATAGTGTTTAGGGGCCAAGACCAGCCATTCTTTTGGAAAAGCAGCTTGGATGGGCCTTTAAGCTGGGTGGGGTAGAGCCTCTGTGGATCTCCAAGGTGGGTCAGCCAGGTTGATGGAGTCCCAGCCATGGCACCAGCCTACCAGCTCTGTGTGGGGAGGGCTCAGCAAGGAGACAATGGCCTGTGCTCACCCTGAGCCTGACACTTCTGTCTCTTTCTATATACCACGGGTGCACTTCAAGCTGCTACTGCAGTGCTGGAGCTCAGAGGGAGTGAGCCTGAGTTGTTGAGTCTGTGTATGGGTTGCCCAAGAGGAACTGCTTAGGACTCCAGCAGCCTCCTGCACTGACTCAATTCCCACTTGTTTTCTTAGCTAGATGTTGTGGGGACTTATCTTCCTGGCACTAGAACCTTGGGCTGGGGGTCCTTGTGTGGGTTTGGGACTCCTCAATCTTGAGATACCCCTCCAGAATTTTTATCCACATGGTTGTGGGGCCAGGGCATTCTGTGTCTGTGCCCCTCTTACCAGTCAGGATGCATGTGGTTTCTTCTATTCTGCAGTTGTCAGACTTTCATTAAACATGATTTTGGACGTTCCTGAGTGATGGTAGTTCTATTTTAGTTGTAATTTTGATATGGTTGTGAGAAGAGGTGAGCCATGTCTGCCTGCATTGCTGTCTTCTGCACTTTGTTTTTGAAGGAATTGGGTTGTTTATCCTCACTTTCCCATAGTCTGAATTGTGTTACTTGCATTGCCATATGTTTTAATTTAACCTTTCCTCCCTCCCTCCCTCCCTCCCTCCCTTCCCTCCTTCCTTCCCTTGTTTTAATTGCCTGTATGTCTTGTAAAGTTGGTAGTTCAGAACTTTACTCAGATTTTCAATCACTGGCCATGTGGTTGAATTCAATCTCCAGCCCCCTCAGTTCTTTGTCTGAGCCTCTTGTCTTCTTTCTTTTGGAAGCCCATATATCTGCCTGTCTTTGATGTTAGCATGTGGTGATTGACGTTCATTGCCATGACCCTATAATCCCTCAGGGGAGACAAAATGACAATATGCTCCTTCACCATCTCTCCTTCATTTACTAGCTGGAATACTTTTCTAAAGAAAACTATCTCCTCTCTACTGGATTCTGCGGCTCATACAAGAAAGACAACTTCCAAAATCCTGAGTGACAGGATTTGATGTCTGTTGCATTTTGTTATTGTTATTAGCTCATAGGTTTAAGTGAATTGTCAGTATTTTGGTCTATTGATGTTGTTACTCTTTTTGATGATTAAGTGGGTCCATCTTTGAATCATCTCACATTAATTTCTGAGGCCTTTAGAAACTTTCACTATACGTTAACATTTAATAGCATTCTCTATTATTCAACATTTAATTTTGAAAAAAACTTCAAATTGACAGAGCAGTTATAAGGATGGTACAAAAAAACTCCCATAGTTCTTTTGTACAGACACTGAGTGGAGAAGACTGTCCACCCAGACAATGAACTTTAATTTCCCCTTAATTTAAGGACTGTCTGTAATGTCACTGCTGCATAAGGTGTCCTGTAGTGCTAGTCTTGTCCTTAGCTTGAGGGCTAAAGTCTTCAAATCAGGGACCACAGATGACTCTGATAAATAAGGGAAAGGGGTATATCATGCTTACTTATAAGTGACACATTTACTTGAAATGATAATGAATGGAGTTGTGTGATAACATAGAAAACTGGCCCAGGATAGCTTCCTTCCTGCTTGTTGGCAAAAGAACCCCACACCCGGCACACAGTCATGTTTTCTCTTTGGCTTCTCCTCACTCAGTTACTCATGTGTCATTGGCTGCCCCCGTGTCCTAAATGTGTGCACCTCCTGTACTATTCCGATGGCCCATAAGCACCCTATTATTTCACTGCCTACTTTTTCAGCTTCTTCTGTCTCCCCTGCCACAGCTGTGGCCTAAAACATTCCTGCACCCACAGCTGTTTACTTTCCCCAACCTGAGTTCTGACGGAGCTCCTGGCAATGCTCAGTGTGTTGTGTAATGAACGCTGTGGCTGGCCTTTGAGCCTGGTTCCTTGGAGGAAGCTCCTAAGTCCTAGGGATTTCCTGAGCTACAGGAGTGTCTGCAAACTTTGCTGGGCCCCTGTGTTGGTGCTTGTGGGGAACTCCAGCCAGCAGAGCTCTCCCAGCTGACACAGATGAGAATAAAGAGTTGTCATGGACACAATCTTGTTGCTCTGGCAGGAAAGGGGGTGGCTATTCCCTCTAGTGGAGAATGCCCCAGGCTCTTTTCCACATGGATTTTATTAGGGTTGGGAAGTGCAGGGGGACACAGCACAGGTGCACAGCTGTCCAAAATCAATGTCCAAAAGGCTACAGTCATAAAAAACTGACACTATCTATAGAAAACAATACAGAAATTTTTCAGGCTGGGGTCTGCGAGACATGCAGATGCTAGATGGTTGTAAAGGCATATGTATCATGAAGTAGGGAGTTTCACTCCTTATGCCTTGAACTCAAACATCTGGGTTATACTGACAGGGCTTATCGCTAGACAGAACAGGCTTTAAAGGACAAAATGTACCTCTCAGGCTTGATTCCCATGGGAACCCTCCATGTTAGAGTCGAGTAATGCCTGCCACCTGTGTATTTACCTGGTTTTCCAGGGAGACTTACTAGTCATTTTCAGATTTTGCTCTTGTGGGGCTACAATCTCCAAAACCAAACAGAGCAGTCCCCAAAAGGTGCTGAGGTGACTCAGGGTGGGGTCCAGTCAGGCCAGAAAGACCAACCTTGTGATTACAGGTCAGGGGTTAGAGCTCAATTTCTGGGGAGGAGAGGGGCCTGGAGATGGAGTTCAACCACGTGGCCAGTGATTGAAACATCTGTGCCTACATATAGCACCCCCAAGGAAAGCCGGAGTCAGCAAATCTCAGGTGAGTTTCTCTGGTGGGTGAAACATATCTGTGTGCTGTGAGGGAGGCCCAACCTGAACCACAAGGAACTTGGTATCTGGGACCATCCCATCTCCCAGGCTGCTTTGCTGTCCTCCGTGATCTTCTATTCATGTTTTTAGCTCCTCCTCCTCCATGCCCATCCCATTTCACAGCTTGAGCTCATCCTTTCTTTTCTTTTTTATTTTTCTCAGAATTTCTCCGATACCCTCATCTCTTTCCCATGGTTCCCACCTCAACACAGGCTCTAGTCCTCCGACCACATGAAGCTGGTATTGGAGGCTGTGAGAAGGACTCCCATTAGGGTTACGGGCCGTGAACACTGTGTGTGTTCTTTGGTGCCAGTGGATCCGTGCTTCATAGCCATTTCTAGGGAAGCGCATATCGTTGAGTCACCTGTGCCCTATTTTGAATTTAACATTGTTGTCTAGGTGCTGGTGGTGCTTTCTCCTTCTCTCTTCTTCCCATTCTCCTACCTCAGTTTCGTGCCCTTCTTCCTTGCTCTCAGACTCTGGCTGTGGCAAGAGGTTGGCCTCAACCTCTTGTTTTTCCTACTGACCTGGAAAACCATTCAGGATTATTTATTCCTCAGAGTTAAGAAATTTGGTTGAGTAACATCAACCCCATTAAGCTACATAATCCACTGACAGTGAACAGCTAATCAAACTGGGACAACCACACACATCATGGAGGTGAGAATTTCACCTTTATTATATTTCCTCCAGAGATGCATTGCATTGTGCTCTTTAATGATCTGAAATAACACACAAACATGTAGCCGGGCAAGTTCAGAAATTACAACTGAATTCTCACAATTCAGTAATAGAGGCCAAACAAAACATAAAAATTTATTTTGACAAGAGTATGAGGGAACTATCCACCTAGCTCTAAGATAATTGTTACGACATAACAGATAAAACCACAAAAACCCCTTTTGATAAGGTAAACAAAATTACATTTACATATGTAAAACAGCTATAATAGTCACCCAAAACCTGAGTAGGAACAGCATGTTTTCAAAACTTAGACTACTTCAAAACTATTTAACATAAGCCTATAAATTTTAAATAATAAATATATAAATATTAAATACAAGAGTACATATAATAATCCTATGGGAACATTTTCAAAATAAACCAATAAAATTTATAACATGCATTCAGCTATCACAATCTTAGGACAATTAATACTTTTAAAGCATTTTCCTCCTATTCTGAGCCTCTAAACTCCACCTTCTGACAGCTCTAGACTGTTGCAACCAAGTGCATAGAAAATAGGACCTCTAGCTTCCCCCTCAGGGGAGATGTGAATCAAACATCTGAAATTTTGGGTGTTGACTTAGAAACGGGCAAAACCTGAAAAAACTCTGGTTTCCAATTGTCCTTAAACGGACTCCTAGAAGTGTTCCGAAGAGTAGGGCATAATAACTCTCCAGCTCATTCTGGAATATTCTGGGTTCTGCTAGATTATCTGCACAGGAGGCTCCTCTTTCCCTTCCTCATGCCTGTTATTAGCGCCTGGATTGACTAGCTGCTGAGAACTGGAATCTCCTGTGGGTGCAGCGACCTAGAAGTAAGAGGGAGAGAGAGAAAGGCAGGATGTCACACTTAAAAAAGGAAACTCTCCAGATAGAAAGATGATCTATATTCTCAGTCAGTTCCAAGCAGAGTTTAAACTATAAATCTATAAATCCAACTGTCTCTCTAATCCTCTATTCTCAAACCCCATCTCACACTTTTGTTTTTCAAGTATGATTGTTGAAATTTGATGACCCTGAGTCCAAAGATTACTTCATATACCCAGTGACCTGCTTCCTAGGAGGACTCTAAGTAATTCTGTTCAGGGAGCCGCCCACAGAGGGAGAGTCCTGCTTCACCTTATTCACACCTTGGTCCAATTGTACGAATGAAAATCTGAACTTGTAATCATGCTAGAAACATTCCTGACATGTCAACATCACAAACCATGGGACCAGGAGCCAGCTCCCTAACCCTGAAATTAGCTAACCCTGGATTCTAATGTTTACCCATAACACCTGGTCCAAAGTTGGCTAGTGCTACAGTCACAGTGCTTGTGTCCCCCCAAATTCATAAACCCTAGGGTGATGGTGGCTCAGTTGGTTGGAGCATAGACTCACACCAAAAGGTTGTGGGTGTGATCCCTAGTCATGTCACATACCTAGGTTTTGGGTTGGATCCCTTCCCACATTAATGTTTCTCCCTTTCTTCCTCTCTCTCTCAAATCAATAAACATATCCTCAGGAGAGGATTTACAAAAAGAAGAAGCAGCAGGCACCTTCAGGAGGTGATTAGGTCATGGGTGGAGCCCTTATGGATGAGATTGTTGCCCTTATAGAAGACCCCAGAGACATGCCTCTGCCCTCACACCGAGTGAGCACCCCGTGGGGAGTTGGCCGTGTGCAGCACAGAAGAGGGTCTTCACCAGAACTCGACCTGATCTCAGACTTCCAGCCTCCAAAACTAGCAGAAGTCAGGGTCTGTTCTTTGTAAGCCACTAATCTCTGGTCTTTTGTTATAGCATCCAGAATGGTCTGAGATAGCCAGTTTACCAGGTTGAAAGCAAACCTTTGCTTAATGGTCTTTCCAAAGCTGTAACTCGAATGTGTGGGTCTTATGAGCCATGCTGGAGCTAGTCTTTCTCAACCTTTGCTCATTCTGACAAACTTCCTGGACCCTAAAACTGAGGGGGAAACCTGTACTTGTGCAAGAGGGGAGATTAGTGAGGCAGGGGAAATTTAGAACACATCTGTGATGTGGCCACCAGCAATTTGAGAGTAAATTTGGATGAGAATAGAGCTAGTCATGATTTGTCTTCTATTGTTGGATGTAGAGATGGTTCCACCTCATATCCCATGTTACGCATTTACTTTGTGGTAGTCTCTATATTGGTATTCCTGAGGGATGAGAGGCCCGTTGAATTAACAACAGGAAGTCAAAACACATTATAGGAAAAATTTCACTTTTCACGAAACTCAGTATTCCAACAAGCTGTCATTTGGACCCAGCTGCTTCAGTGAAATGATTTCAGCCAAATCTTGAGGCCTGGCACCCACACATCCCATTGAGGAGCCTGGGTGTGGTTTGTCAGCTGGTGTCTGGGACCCAAGTTGGTGCCTGGGTATGTGCCTGGTGGGTGTATTTCACAGTGTGTAGTAGGGTGATGGGGAGGGGTGGGGTGGATGAGCATGGGTGCAGCAGTTAAATGTCTTGGATTTCCTAAAGGGACAACCAATCATTCCATATGGACCTGTGCAGACAGAGCCCTGCCTTCCTGCACACCTACCTCACGCTCTGTGAGGTCAGAAAGGAGGCTGCGATCTCGCTTCCACACCCACAGCTCGGGATCAAAGGCCTGGATCTGGAAAGACAAACAGCATCTGAGGAGGTGACAACTGTGTGGGTGGACACCGTCACACTCCTGCTCAGTCCCCAAATCTGTTTTCATTGCCCCATCCCAACTGTGATCCCCCATGATCCCTTCTCTCTCCAATCTGGTCCCCCCTCTGCCAGATCCCCACAGCCCACTTACCTCTTCGCACTCCTCCTTGGTGACCCATGCCCTGTAGCCCATGGAACGAAAGAACTGAAATTGCAGTTTGTGGAACAAGGGACGCCGGGCACAGTTGCTGTCCCCATAGAGGAAGGAAAAGATGGTCTCTTTAGGGGCATGGTAATCCTCTTCCATATCAAGAGCCAGGTAGCTGAGAAAAGTCATGAGGGTGTCAGTCGGGAGCTGGACAAGAAGGTCCCCTGCCTGAGGTCTGCTTTCCAGAAAGGACACAGACTGGATCAGCTTCACACAGGACCCACAGGAGCCCTATCCGGTGTCAAAGAGTGCCACCCCGTCATCAAGAAGTCCCTGCAGAGCTGGGAACTGAAGGGCACCTCTCATACCTTGATGATGCAGATAAGATTCAGTGGGGAAGCCCATCCCCTTCCTTTAACCTGCTTTGTGTGCACACACTTGTCTCCCTGTAGTGTAAGTCCCTAGACAGTTCTTGTGGGTAGGGCCCAACCAGCCCATTGCAGTATTCTTCGCTTTCCTACCAACTGACCAGTACAGGGCTTGGTTCCTCAGTGCATGCACTCAGCAGCCCTTCTTGAATTCTCTTCCCAACCTCATGTTTCCAGGCACTTGAGATGCACTTGATAAGGTTTTACAGAATGAATGACAAAATGCTCTGTCTCATAGTCAAGTGCAAAACTGATTACCTTAGAGACTCAAAATAACTTAAACTTTGTAACATGGAAAGAACTGTGCTGAGCCCTGGCTGGTGTGGCTCAGTGGATTGGGCGCTGGCCTGTAAACCAAAATGTCGCCAGTTCCATTCCCAGTCAGGGCCCATGCCTGGGTTGCAGGCCAGGTCTCCAGTTGGGGGCTGTGAGAGGCAACTGATTGATGTTTCTTTCCCTCTCTTTCTCCCTCCTTTTCCCTCTTTCTAAAAATAGGTAAATAAAATCTTAAAAAAAAAAAGAACTGTGCTGAGTGTTTTAGGGAGCCATTGATGTTTTGACAAGACTGCCCTCAACAGTGGTCTAGTCTGATGGGATTAAAGAAGGAGAAAGTGGAGATGAGAAAGTACTGTAATCCAAAATATCACATTGTGTTAGAATTTTAATTGAAATGTTACTTGGCTACAGAAGTGAGGGGGTCTGAAGATTCTGGTGTTTGAGTTAGTTTTCAGAAGAAATAATTTCTTTTAGTTACATATGTGTAAAAATACCAGGGATTAAAACACAAGATAAAATCAGGGAAGGGTAGCGAAATGAAGATTGCCATGTCAGGGTGGGGAGCGAATGTGATGGAGGTCGCAGAGAGAGCTGATGTCAAACTGGGAACTCTGGCCTTGGTTTAGAGCAAAGTCAGCCAATGACACTGTTGGGAGCAGGGTGGTGAAGAGGTTAGACCCGTGTTTTAGAAGTATATTCAGAGAGGCTTGTAGGAAATATCCCTAGGGGTCGTGTTTTTTTCTGCTCATCTGAGGACATGTTTATTGATTTTGGAGAGAGGGAGAGAGAGAAACCTTGATGTGAGAGAGGAACATGGATCGATTGCCTCCTGCAGGTGCCCTGACCAGGATCGAACCCGCAACATTTTGGTGTACTGGACGGCACTCCAAACAGCTAAGCAACCCAACCAGGGTCCTGGGGAGCCTTTCACAACAGATATGTGTTATTTAAAGACGGCCTCAGTTGAGGAGAAACACCACTACATTTGGGAGTGTTATGAAGTGGGGGGTAGGGGGAGAGAAAAATTAGAAATGGTCAGTCTGGAGCCTATTCATTCAGTGGAAGAGTGGAGTCAGTTCTTTATGAGGCTTTTATGTTTTCTTTTTCTTTGTTCTATCTTTTAACTGCATTAGGGTTGTTGGCTTTGACAAAGAACAGTATAACAAATGCTATACTACAGTCCTATCTTGGGTATACACAGAGTACACACAGAAATGGTTGGAAGAGCAGAAGGAAGGTTGGAGGCCCACTCTCTCCCTGAACTCCCCAGAGGATGAACGCTGACCGATGGGCTTCAGCACGGTACTCACAGGGCCAGGAAGAAGTGAATCCTCTGGTACTGCCAGCAGAAGAGGCCCGCACGGCTGAAGTAAGCGATGACCATGGCCAGCAGGTACTGGTGGAAAGAGGGGAAGAACATGCCAGAGGACTCATGTGGTGAAAGGGGAAGAATGGTGAGACAGGGGAACGGCTGGTGCTCCCAGGCAAGGGCTAAGGGTTTCAGGGCATGAGTGTAGGACACCTGGCATCACAGGGGTCTCTGATAAGCTAGAGCATGGGGAGTCCCCAAGAGCTGAAAGAACAGGGGACTTGATGTGCCAACAACCATAGGGACAGGCCTTGGGCTCAGATCCCAGAGAAGCCAGGCCAGAAGCAGGGCTGCTGTCCACACTGCAAGAAATACCTGGGTCCCCAAAAGGAAGTGGTGACGAGGCATCCGGTTGGACTGGGAACTGTGGGCTCAGGAAGCCCCACCCCCCGACCCTGCCCCACTGCCCTGGAATCAAAGGTAGAGCAGGAATACCTCTTACCTTGTCTGTGAGCCTCAGGCTTCTGTCCCACTCCAGGAACCCTTTCACGACAGGGTCCTCTGTGAAGAGAGGGCAGGTGTTAGCTTGGCCACAGGAACAGGGTTGCCGGAGGTGCATTATGGGGCAAAGAGGAGAACCGTGCGCCTATTGGGGAAGGTTCAGGTTGTGGCCAAGGCTGAGGATGACAGGAAGAGGGACAGGGGAGACTGTTCTCTGGGCAAGGAAGCAGGGGTGACACTACCTCCACCCACCCAGTGTGGGGGGACCGGGTGGCAGGTGAGGTGGCAGCAGCATATCCGCATCACTCAGATCTTAAATAATCAGTGCTGTCCCGTCATCATGCAGGAGCGTGCCCCTGGCGCTGCCCTAGCAGTCAGTCATTTTCTCCATGGCAGCACATCAGGGTGCGGCGGTGGCCTCATGATGCCCCCTTGCACGGGTGCAGGTATTTGGATTCAAAGGGCCAGTCAGAGCTAAGGAGTCTCAGAGATACAGTTGAAACCAGGCCTCATAACCCCACGTGCAAGCCTTTTCGAATCCAGCCTAATCCTGCATCACTTCTAAGTGTCCCTGATGGGCGACCCATTGGGAGTCCTCCCAGGACAGAGAGTGCACCCGCTGGCAGGGGGTTCTTTTCTGTTGGAAAGGTACAGGTATATTAAATTTTTTTTTTTTTTTTTTAAGGATTGGAGGGTGCTCTCCAGGGTGTCTTCTTACTGAGCAGCCTGGCGAAGGCCTCATGGTGTTCTGGCAGCACTGTGGATGTGCGCTGCTTCTTTGGCCTCATTTCCTGGCCGCACACTGTCTCTAGGGCCCCGATGTTTTCAGGCCCAGGGGTGGTCTCCTCCTCACCCTCCTCTTCTGTTGACTGCTCCCTCTTCCTCTTACTGCCGCCAGTGTTTGGAGGCAGGGGGCTGGAATCCACACAGGGAGCTGAGTGAAGAACCCAGGTTACAGTAAAAGGCTTTTTTTGCCTTTGGAATTCAGCTACTGGTCACCTAAACCAGATGCCCACTCCAGCCCACCCATGCCTTCCTCAAACAAGCCCCTCCATTCTCTCCAGTCTCATGGGCTATGGGCCTTCTCCCCAGCCGTCTCTTCACCATTCTCCTGTCGTGACGTCTGTTCCCCTCCACATTCACCTTGCCATTGTTCTACCTCTCCGTCCTGAAAACTCTTCCTTGTTACAGGTCATTTGTCCCATGGAAGGGGAACGAAAGGAGCCCTCGTGGTGTCCCCCCCTTCCCTTCTCTCACCTTGGACTATCATCCCCTAACCCTTTTTTCTTGCCTCCCAGGCTTTCCTGTCGTGGGGATCTCCTTGTCCCCAGGTCCTGTGGTCTCCTCCAATCCCTGGCTTTCTGAACCTCCCCTTTCTTTCACACACACCCTCTTCACCCTCCTCACACCTTCCTCCTTAACGGGCACCCCTGTCAAATCCCTCTGGCCCCTGTTTCCTCACCTGATGGTCCTGGGTTGACTTGAATTACTGTCACCTCCAGGGGATACGCCGCAGTGCTTGGCTGGGGGCTCAGGTTGTCAGACTGGAGACTCTGTTCATGGCTGGCCATGATTTCTTTCAAACTCTTTTCTTTCAGGAAATCTGGGTGATCACAGGGCTGGAGAGAAGAGGCTGTTGTCCACCCTCGCTGCCGAGCGCCACGGAGTTTGATCCTTCCAATCAGGATGGTCGGAAGCCTCTGATGTCATCGGTCATTCCAGCCTGGCAACCAGTTTGAAAGATTCAAACACATATGTGTAACTGCCATATAAGTAACTGCCATACATACATGTTAACTGCCATGTGTGCACTTCTCCTGGAGATCAGGGGAAAGCAATGTCTCCTGCTACTGACCCAATAACCTCAGACCAGCCTCCAGAACTGTCTTCAAGTGTCAGCATCACTCTTTACCTCTTTCCCAGCAGACACTCTGTTCTCTCCATTCTGAATGTGAAGTATGCTGGGATGTGCTCTTTGCCATTCCTATTTCAGAGTGTCACCTGGTGAGAGAGGGGGGTAACACAGGCATTTATGGAAAGCAGAAATGCTAAGACCTTGCAAGAGTGGGATAAAGGTGCAAAAAAGTTCCTGGGTACATGGACTCGTCAGATTAACAAATTACTTTAAAACACTGAACGGTGCCCTGACCCTGGCATGGCTGAGTTGGTTGAGCCACAAGCCTGAAAGCAAAAGTTTGCTGGTTCAACTCCTGGTCACCATAGTGCCTGGGTTGCAGACCAGTTCTCAGCTGGGGACCTGTGCAACCAATCATTGTTTCTCACACATCAATGTTTCTCTCCTTCTCTCCTTCCCTTCCCCTCCTTTCCCCTCTCTCCAAAAATAAACAAATAGAAATTGGGAGGGGGGATCAATTTGAAGCAGTACAACTACTTCGGAAAACAACAATAACAACAAACATGGAATTTGGCAAAGCTTGATATTCACGATGTTCAGGATTCTGTAGCGGGGGACACATATCCTCTATCCTCAGGCAGCTTTTATTCCAAGAGACATTGTGAGAACCTAAAATCCTAGAAAGCTGTACATGTGCTCATATCCTTCCGATGGTGTCCACAGTTTCCAGGAGTCTACGAATTGTGCAAAGCCTGCTGCCCAAGTCCAATTAAGAAACTTTAGTGCACATATCACAATTTTCAGCCTATGTATCACTCTTGAGCCAGAAATTTCACTACCACTCAAGGATCCTATGAATAAAATGTCAGACACACAGAAAGACTAAGTGGAAAGATTTCTGATTCAGGATAGAGCAGGATGTTCTCTGTGAAGGTGGGGAGTGCAGATGCAGAAAGTGACTAACCATCTCGGTGTCCTGCAGGATCAGGGGGATGATTTTTCTGGATTGCCTGCCAGTCTTCTACCCCTGCTATTCACCTGGGCAATTAAACTTTTCCTTCCTTCCTCTCTCCCTTCCTTCCTTCCTTCCCCACCCCCCTTTTAAACAACACTGTGAGAGATACATCCATCAGTGGCTCCTGGCACGCCCCCAACTGTGGACCCGGCCCGCAACCCAGGCATGTGCCCTGACTGGGAATCGAAATGGAGACCCACTTTGGTTCACAGACTGGCACTCAACCACTGAGCCACACCAACCTGGGCCTTCCTTTCTTTCTTATTGTGATGAAATAACGTAACAAATTTACCATTTTAACCTCATTAAAGGTTAAATTCACTGGCAATGAACACATTCACATTGTTGGGCCACAGTCAGCACCAGCCATCTCCAGAACTGTTTCCTCTTCCCAAACTGAGACTCTGTATCCAACAAATACAAACTCCTCATCCATCCCCACCGGGTCCTGGGAGCCACCTTTCAACTTTCTGTCCCCGTGAGTTTGCCTACTGTAGGTGTTTATACAGTTCTTTCGGGCTTAGTCAGTCAGCATAATGTGTTTAAGGTTCATCCACATTGTAGACTGTCAGAAGTTCCTTCTTTTGATAGGGTGAATGATAACCATTATATAAACCATATTTTGTTTATCTACCCACCTGCTGATGGACACTTGGGTTGTTTCCACTTTTCAGCTGTGAGTCTTGCTTTTGATCCATTGTTTGTACTTGGATGAGATAGGATGTACCCAAACTTTTATTTTTTAATTTGGAACACGTATATATTTCTAATCAGCCCATGCCAACCACGAATGAGGTCAAATTGGTTCATTCAGAAGATAGTATGGCATATCCTTGACAAGTGAAAAACAGAATCATTGTATGATGTAGCCATTGCAGGTCTGGGTATTTATCCAAAGGAAATGAAAACTGGACTCTGAAGAGAGATCTGCACCCCCACGTTTGTGGCAGCATTCTTCACAGCAGCCAAGATATGGAAACAACCTGTGTCCATCAACAGATGAATGGGTACAGAAGATGTGACATGTACATATAGAATGGCACGATACTCAACTCTGAGAAAGGAGGGAATCCAGCCATTTGTGACCATAAGGATGGACCTTGAGAGTATTATTTTAAATGAAGTAAGCCAGACAGAGAAAAGCAAAGTCTACGTGGTATCATTAATTTTATGTGTTATCTCAAAAAGAAAAAATAATCAAACTCACAGGAACAGACAGTACAAAAGAGGCTTGCCAGGGGTGGGGGAACAGAGAATGGCTGGTTCAAATCTTCAGATCTCATGTACAACACCATGACTATGATTGATAACACTTGTGTTGAGTATCACTGCAATCAATTGACGGAATAGAGTTTAAGTATTCTCACCAAAATTAACAACAGCACCAACCAAAGGTCCATAAGTCAGGTGATGGATATGTTGACTGGATGGGGAGAATCCTTTCACCAAATATACATATGTCAAATCACCACAGTGTGCACTTTAAATATCTTATCATTTCATGTGCTAGTTGTTCCCCAGTAAAGCTGAAGTTTAAACGGTCTGTGTGTCTGAGGTGCATAGGCTGCATGTCTCCCTTAGGTGCAGTCATGGACTTTCTGAGTTGGACCAGGTCTCAGGGACCAGGTCTCAGGGACCAGGCACATAGCCCCAGGCTCCTCCACAGCTTCCAGGGCCAGGCTGTCCCTGGAGTCCCCGCCGATGGGGAGGGCAAGGCTGCAGGACAACATGTGTCCCATCACTGTACAAGGTCAACACTTGGAAACCAACTTGGAGTTTGAAGAGACTGATTTTAAAAGCCTGGAAATCAGGTGCCAGGCATTGTAATAGACTTGATGCACTGGAGGGAAAGAAACAGGAGAAAACACAGGCAACGAATGAGACCATTAAAGGCGGGAAAGGTTTCTTCAAGGACAATGTCAAAACAGATGAAAAGTGTGAAGAGAACGTGAAAGTTTTGCACAGTAGAAGTAAAAAGTGTCTACGTGACAGAACATAAAAAGTAAAAAATTAAGTTAAAAAGACAGATGACAGATTGGGGGAAATATCTGCAATTTCTACAACAAAAAGAGAAAGCTCTCCATTCTAGATACCTGCATGAAGCCACAGTGAGAGGCACATTGCTGCTGCTTCTGGTCAAGATGGAATCACGGAGTCCAGGTTACCCGCCCAGCTTAAACACATTTCTCAAAAGGGGGAAGTATGTAAAATGACACTTTTTAGTTATTTGGAGAGAGAGAGGCAATTCCTGAGGGTGTCTAGCTCACTGCCCAGAGAGGGTCCACACCACAGTACAGGGATGAGGACTGTCTCTGAGCCGAAGGGGCATGGCAGTGGGCATTTGCAGGACAGAGAGCCAGAGAGGAGCAAGGCGCAGAGGGCACCCCAGACTTCCACTGAGTGCTGGTCAGTGCATGTGGAGAGTGGGAACTGGGGTCTGGGTACTTAGGCTAATGGGCGCTCTGCTCATCCTCACAGTGAACCTTCTAAGGTGCTCTGCACAGCTTTCATCCTTTACCTGGTGAAAATGGAAATGAGCATAAAGAAATGCTCCCTGCAGGCTTCCTGACTCAGGCCCAGAGATGTGGCCACTGTCATTCCCATTCCAGCCTTCCATTGGTGAGAATCCAGGCACATGCCACACTCAACGGCAGCAACAGCTGGAGACAACTGGTCCTGAGCACGAAGCAGCCACTTTCAAAAGCAAATTTGGGGAAGGACAGATTTGGTGCAGGGTCAGCTTAATGCTGCAGGTCGTGCTTAAGGAGGACACTGTCCCTATGTTTATTACCAAGGGACTTTAGGCTAGGCACTACTTGCTTGTCAGGGAGATAGGAGAGCTTTCCTTTTTTCCTTGGGGTAAGGGCAATTAACTAGCACAAATGGAGACCCAGATTACCGGTGACCTCGTATTGGACTGTGAAAGGAGTATAGCAAATGGTGCTGTCCTTTCACATGAGACCAGTTACCCTTTCATTGGGAGCATGACCCTAATGCTCCCGCCTGCCCAACTGTGGGGAAGGATGAGGTCCGTTTCTTTCTGTGCAACGGCCATCTGGTTTAATGCTTATTGAACTACATATAAAACTTTTTTCTTCATTTGTACATTTGTGGAGGTGTTTTCTGGGTTGGCAGCTGACTGACTATATTTTTAATCCTGCCCCCCTCCACCAGCTTTTAAGAAACAATTGGCCATAAACACGGTTGTATTATTTCACTACGAAGAAGTGTCCTTACGATGTCCTTCTCGAAAACTGACACTATTACCTAACACAAGCACAGTTCTCCTTGGGAGTGAGACCCCAAGTATTTATTTCATTTTTTAAGTTTGTATTTTCGTTTTTTTTTTTTTTTTTACAGTATTTAAGCATTAGGTGTGTAAACTAGAAAACGTTTATGTTTCTACGATCCTTTCCTTCCTTGGAGTAACCATATGCACATGGATAATACTATCTTATGTCGTGGCTCGGCATTTCCTGTTTGGTAGTATTTTAGTGAAACCTCTAGCGTTAAGTGGACGTGACACAGTCCTCCCTCCGCCTCACCCTGTTGTCAGAGAACCTCGCTTGTAACAGGGAAGGTCTCAGAGCAAGGAAAGGACCAGGACTGCAGGACGCAGTCACACAGACAACACCTTTCCTTGATCCCTAACAGGAGTGGGAACAAACGGGGAAGGGTGGGTGGGGTCCCTGGGCGGAGGG